ATGACTTTCTCATGAAATAGTTGAGAATTGAGTTAAAGTTCTACAGAAATTCTAAAACCGTGCTCTAACAGTTCTAGTATCTGTTGACTATTGGGTTTGAATCTCCGATAAGAATGCGAAATCCAAACACGCTTATTCTAATATTCTTTTCATCATGAGATAGACAATTGAAAGGCGAGTCGAACACTGTATTTGAAATTTATCTTTCGTTTTGTTTTAATACTTTTACGGTGTCTGCGAGAAAGTCTCAGATAGTGGGATTTCGTCGAGTTTTCATTCTCATTAGACCAAAGTCATTCTTGCGTGTTTTGATAATCCTAGGTCAAGATAATGTGGAAAATTAGGAGATTCGGTAGGAATTCAATACTATGGAAGAAACGATGTGAAAGAAATCACCATCAATGTCAGAATTTTCCAGTCTTAATGGAGATTCAAACCCAATAGTCAACAGATACTAGAACTGTTAGAGCACGGTTTTTAGAATTTCTGTAGAACTTTAACTCAATTCTCAACTATTTCATGAGAAAGTCATATCATTTTTTATTAGAGAATCTATCAAAACAGAAGGATTCTCTGTTAATTTTACCATGAAACGTTTGACTAATTCTACGTCCTTTAAACGTGAGAAACTATGATGTCGATCCTTAATTTCTATGATGCCAATGTTTCAAAATTTGTTAAACTCGATTTTTGTTAATGAGTACGAATAAGAAAGAGTTCAGTTTATGCTCACAAAGTCAGAGATGAGCAAGTCTAAGTCCGGATTGGGACTGAGTCCGACCTGATAGACTTTTTCACATTATAGACTAGACTGAGACTGAAGACATACGAGACTTAGACTTTTCTTTGACTGATTTTTTTCACATCTGTGACTGGATTTTTCAGTTTAAATTTGAAAAAAGATGGAAAGAATAAAGAAATTGAATTCACTCTTTTATCTTTTTCATGTTACCGCGCGGTTGGGTGGTTAAGATTTGATCAGAGTTTTTTTTCGCTGATTGATTTTGTTGTTTTCTTTTATTGTTACTATAACCATGTAAAGAAACAGTGTCTCTCTAATAAAAACGGAGAAAAAAAATGAAATTGGAAAACAAGATATGCTGTGGACTGGGATTGAAAGAATACCAGACTTACTCATCTCTGCACATCGTGAGATAAACTCTGAAGTACTTAACAGTGATCTTCTATTCTGGGAGGTTATTTAGCGTATATTATAAAAATGGGAAAATAATGCTTTATTTACAACTGAAGGCTCGAGCAAATCAAAATGCAAATTATTTATCGTGGATGATCAACAAATTGGTTATATTCAACCAGAAACTGCTGCGGTTCTAAGACATTATCCAAATGAATTTGTCGAAAAAGAAGATCGGTAAGCTCTTCATATTATTGTATAGTGACTATGAAAATGTCGATTCGAGTTAGTTTCTAACGAACTAATATGACTAGATGTTTGTAAGCGCTCCTGTCGGTTATTCAAGCATTAAGTACTTTTTCTCATTTGGCTGATATTGAACTGGAACACAGCATTTTTTTTACTCGCATGATCATGATGTTCATGTTTTTCTGTTGTTTAGTTTCATTTTAAGTAGTGACTTTATGGATTATGCTAGTCGGACGTCTGCAGTAGAAAAAGTCGTTAATGATATGCGGAAAAGAGATAGTCTATTGACTCTTCGAGGTTGGAGAGATGAGGTAAAGAAATAGTCAAACAATCATTTTTTTTCTTCTGATTCAACTAACTATTTAGGTTTACACAATAGCAGCCTCTTATAATAGTCCTCCATTATTTGCTATGGAAAGAGCAGCCACAAGTATGTGTTTTAGTTTTTACTTGTGATAATATATTTTATTAGATTACTCTTTTTTATCCTTTTAATTTAGGTGCCTTTGGTGTTCGGTAGGGGATTAATTGTCTAAACACCACTCTATGCGCAAAAATAACGATTTTTTAATGAATATTTTAGAGTATATGGAGCTCATGTTAATGGCTATGTAGTTGATGAAAATGACAATTATTTCTTATGGATCGGTCAACGTTCGAAAACTAAACAAACATTTCCTGGAATGTACGATAATCTGGCAGCTGGTGGTATTGGAAATGGTCTCAGTCCGACGGAGACAATGAGAAAAGAGTGTGAAGAAGAAGCGGGTATACCAGAAAACTTATTGAAAAATTTAAAATCAGTAGGAGCAGTAAGGTAATATTTTAGTGACTTTTTTTTTCTCAAAAACTAGTAGCAGCACTATTTTCTTCTGTTAGTTATTGTTATGAAGACGAAAACGGTGTTCATTGGGAAGTAAGATAACAAAATAATAAACATAAAATTATTCGTAAATATTCATCCTTTATTTCTCTCAGGGTGAATTTATTTATGATTTAAAACTACCAAAAAGTTTTATTCCAAAAGCTGCCGATAATGAAATGGAAAGGTTTCAGTTATTGTCTATATCTAAAGTAAGTTGGAGAGATAGTCATTTTTATAAATATATTTTTATCATCTACAAACTCTTTAGGTTAAAGAACTCGTAATCGCTGATAATTTTAAACCAAATTGTGCTTTAATAACATTGGATTTTTTAATGCGTCATGGATTTATTACTCCTGATCAAGGTAACTGATTTCATTTTATTAGTATGGTTCATCTTATTTTATTTTATATCTTTTTTAGAACCAGACTATTTTTTTATATTGGAAAATATGCACAAGTCTGGTTTATGAATGTTTTATCCTTCGTAGGATAACATCTCAAAGCCAGATATTTTTGTTTACGATTATTGTTTTATATTTCATTGTCATCAATTTTTCTTTTGTGTTGTATAATTGAAAGGAAGAAAAGAAAATATCACTAACAGTCTATAAAAGAAGAAATATGATTCAATGACAATGTAAGATTATTCTTTATCAATAGTTAATCCTTGTTTCTTTTTCCTTGCATTTTTTAATGATCATAACGGAATGCAATATTATTATAGACTAAAACTAAGGATGTCTTCAGATGTATGTGATCAAGAAAAAACTTATAACGAGTGGCCGAGAATAAATGTACCATTAAATATTTTCTCAATATATCAGTCAAGGTTGATCGTCAAGTCTCAACCTTTTTTTTTTAAAAATGCCTCATTCAATTCAAGGTTGATCGTCGAGTCTCAATCTTCTCTTTAAAAGATTCCTCATTCAATTCTCTACACAAAATATGTTGAACATTTTTTTTATATATTAGAAGAATAAAAAAGTATAGAGAAAATAAGGAAGTTTCAATATCGATTACTGTCAAATCCAAAGTGCAATCAAAAAATATTTATTTTGAATACGGTGCTATGCATTAAAGTAGAATCGAAATGTATTTTCTGATGTTACGGAATATCACCTTTCTTTTCGTGTATCATACGTTCGCTACAAATCTTTTTTTCTACCACGAACGATGATTTTACTAAAGAAAAAGGGGAAATTTGATTTTCTCACCTTGACACAGAAAACGAAATGGGGCTATTCGACTTCCTCTGTTCGGATGTAACAAAAGAATTATTTTGCTTTAAGGTAAACCAGATCCGACGTTATAATGTGTGGGTTTGACCAAATCATACAAATTTTCCTAAGTGCCTCAAAACTTCAATTAGAAAATAATGATTTTAGGCAAAAATCGCTAAAAGAAAACAAAATTCTCGTGATAGTGAAGCTTTTCCGTATTTTTTCTATATTTTTTTATTCTTTTAGTATATAAACAAAATGTTCAACATATTTTGTGTAGAGAATTGAATAAGGAATCTTTTAAAAAGAAGATTGAGATTTAGCGATCAATCTTGACTAAGATATTGAGAAAATACTAAATGGAACATTTATTCTGAGCCATTCGTTAATAAAAAAACATCAAAGAAGATCAAAATCATCCTGTTTATTCTACGAAAGACGATGTGTTCCTATTTTTCTTCACACAGTTGGAACTATATAGAATTGGAAAAAAAGATTGTAGTAATTAGACTTTTTCTCTAAATTAAATCAAAGTAAAGAAAGTATTGAAGACATAAAGAAAGTATTGAGACATATTTGAATATTCATTAGCGAAAAAAAGTCTTTTATTTATTAATATCAAAAATACGTTAGGATTTTTTATTTAACACTCCTTATTCACCGTCATTTATAATTCAAAAAACTTTGTAGAAAAATAGTTATTTTATTCAAATTATTTTTTGTAATTTTTAACATATTCTAATCTTTGATGCGAAAGTGTCAGAATGTCTCATCGTTAGTGACTGTATTTAAACGAAACATGTTAGATACTTCATTCATAGAGCGTAATCTTTAACTTAAAATAAATAAATGACGAAAGAACTTGAAATATTGCATTTCTATACTTCAATCTTTTGAAAAACTTTTGTTTTTGTACTTTCAGTCTTTTTTTATATAGTCTAAAAGGTTTAAATTTAGATCTTTCTTTTTCATCTAGACTTCATCATTTCTTTTTCATTATTTTTATGAAAAAGAGTCAATCTAAAGAGAAATAGAAAAATTATCATTCCATTTTAAGACTTTGAAAAATATTGTAAAATTTCTTCTTTAATCATAAGTTCAATCTCACGTTTATGTGATTTTCTACGCTCTAACTAATTAAAAAAGAATGAAATCTCCTTTTCATTTAAATATTTTAGACAATTGCTACTTTTACATCAGAGATTAATGGATAAAGGAGTATTATAACCTATCCTATATTTTATTTATAGCAAAAACAACAAGGCAAACTGGCGTAATAATAATATGTTCAAAATATATTTGTTAAAGTAAGTAGTCGCTGCGAACTTATTGTTTAAACCGTTTAAGTAACGGCAATAAGCTACTTTCCAACGTTTAAATGATGATTTTCTATTAATGAGTCTTATATATAATAGAAGATGTTCATATTTCAACTAAGTTTTTTTTTGTTTCAATAAAGAATAAGTTTAAAAACATCCAACAGGTATAAAACGATTCGTTACTTTATCGTAAATTTCTGTAATATATTTTATTCGACTTTCATGTATAAACGGCGTTCGTGGAAAATATTGTGAAATCGATACTTGTGGTTGTATGCAGGTATAAAGATATGTGTTTGATGTGTACTGTCTTTTAGATGGATGTAAATCATCATGAGAGGAAGCAAACGGTAATTTTTCTATTGTTACTTTGTTTAAACTCGTAGTACCCATTTGTTCTGGTAAATCTTGAAAACTTTTATTTTCTTTCATCAGATGCCTCTGAACGTCATCCTGAAATAAAATAAATTACATAAAATGTCTACTAAAATTAATTAAACTATTTACCCGTTTTGGACTATTTGATGGTAATGGTGGCTTTTCAACATTCTGATTTTTTATTTGAATAGGGATAACTTGAACATCTGAATTTTTTTCTGACATAATTACTGGTGCATCCTTGGCACTGGGAGGTCTTAGTGGAAGTTGTTGATCATTTGATTGTGATTTTACTAATGGTGGTGATGCTTTAACTGGACGAGGTGGTTGATGATGATGATGAATAGGAATTTTTATCGGATCTACGTCTACAGGTCTATTTGAATAAACATCATTTGTTACATTTGATTGTGATGTTTGACTGTTTCTCAAATGTTTTTTTCTTTCGTTTAATAATTTATCATACAATATTAATTGTTTGAGAAATCCATCATTCGGTAATACACACGGGCGAGCTTTGACAACATGTGATAGACACTGTTCCAAAGATATATTGTATGTTCGCATCAAATAAGCAATAACAATAGTTGGTGAACGACTAAAAGATGAAAAATGAATGTTCCACTGAATAGATAAGACTAACTAAATGAAAATCTAGGACATGTGTTGAAATTGTTAAGTATCCTCCCTCTCTCACTCACTCACGAGTTTAATTATACACACTTACCTTTGACCATGACTACAATGAACCAGAACTCGACATTTGTTTGATTTTGCTTCATCAATAAATGCGAACGCTTTTTCTAATACTTTAAGAATATTTTCTTGTTCATCATCGCGTAGATCAATTTGTAACGTTCGAAAATCTTTTCCATAATATGGACAAACTTCTACATCCCGACTAGCAACATTGAGAATATAACGAATACCAAGTTTTGATAAACGATTAACATCGTGGGCTGATATACAATTACCAAGAAATAAGTAGGGATCTAATACTAAAGATGGTTCAGTGTGATGATGTTGATTTTTAAATAAACGATGAAGTTTGTTTAATTGTGTTTCATAGATGAACATGTTATTGGAGTTATTACTATTCGATGTTCGATGAAATGAATAAATGTTTGCTTGATTTACCATTGGACTCATTATAAATAATGTGATATGTTCATCTGATAGGAATAGTAGTTTGGTTTTCGGCTAAATAGTTATAGTACAAGATAGAAATCATTAATTTAGGACGATGTGCAGTTAGAAAACAGATGATTTTATTATTACATTCATTTCACTAGCGGTCATAACTATATATATATATATATATATGTGGTTTAGATTATCGACCTACTTCTTTATGTTCGTTCTATTCACCTCAATGTAATTGTACGTTTTACGATACGTCTTTGTTATATTTTATGCTCGAAGAGGTCCAACCATAGATCATAATCATTGTCATTGATAGATACAAGAATGTTAGAAGGAAAAAAAACCTCGCTTCTTGTTTCTTTAGAGTGAGTATCGTACAATAAACCATTCTTCTTTTTCAAAACAATGTTGAGGGAAAGAAACGTGTTTTTTTTTCTTGTGTTATTATAGCAAGGAAGGTTTATGTCTCTTTTCTTCAATTTGTACCTGAAAAACATTTTTTTTCATTATGCTGAATGATTCTTTATGGTAACTTTTTTTTAAGAAAAGAAAAACATAAATTAATGATAATGTTCATGCAATGATTTTTTTAATTTGTGGCCATGAATAAAATGAGTATAAACCTATTTTTGCACAACATAAAAATAAAACGATTACTAGAAAATTGTTAAATAACTGTCAAATAAAAATTCAATGAAAGGCAGCGTGAAGGATAAATTTTGCGCTATTTCATAACTTGAAATAGTACCCTGTTTGTGCAAACTGGTAAAGTCTATAATATTCAGTTGATACAACATCATTTCAGAACTGTCTATGATTTGGAAGGCGTTACGGTTAATTAGTAATAATGAAATATTAATTAATAATGCGTACGTATGTAGCTGAAAATCACTTATTTTGCAAGAAACCCACTTTCTCTAGGCTATTTCACTTTTATTACGAAACGAATATTTCCACCGCAGAATAATTGATAATCCGTAGTTCTATGTGTTCGAGATTAATTCTGAGATTCTTAAAAACCTATTGCGATTAGTTATCGATAGCAGATGAAGAACTGGGGTTTGCGTAAATGTGTAGTGGACATTCCTGAATTTTTTAAATGTACATTAGACTAACATTGGTTGCTATGAGCTGATATTGAGAAGTAAGCTGGTCTTTCAAAGATTCATGCGGTAACACTACCTTTACGTGGTAAATTGAACTTGATATGACATGATTCAAAAAATAATGAGAAGTAGATATCCTTGGTAGATAGATGGTTATGATGACTTGATATGATATTTTAGATAAGCGAAATAGGTATACATTTAATGTATTAAAACAAAAAAATATTGGAACAAAAACATGTAATTTAACAACAGATGATTCGTATTTATAATATTTAAGAATATTTTCGCATGTATTACCTTTACCAAAAATATCAATTATTTTTCTTGAAAAGAGGCTTTGTAAAATGTTTACGATAGAATCAAATCGACATTTTGTGTTGAAAAAAAATCAGAACTAACAGAAGAAATATGCCATGTTTTCGAAAGACAAGAAAAGCATCTTTTCATTCTTCTGTTTATTATTATATGTTTCGTGTCTATAGGTTATTCTTTAATTATTCTTTCTCTCTAAATATTTTCCTCTTTATTTTCTATTATTTAGTTTTCAATTTCTTTTTTTATCATGAACGAAGTTCGTTTAGGAGAATTTAACTTAGAATTAAAAAATGGCGACGAAGGTCTGTGATTTGTAAAAAGCTTTCGTCTATGAAACTATGAAAAAAAGATTTCTAGGAAGCAGATTTTCAGGTGATATATCACGGTGGTCTTTTTAATGAGCTCCCTATCTACATTCTAGTGAATTTTCAATGACTGGATAATCAAAAATGCTCTCTATCGATTAATGTATGGGTGGGGTCGCCATATACCAGCGTTTCGGAAATACAGGATTTTTCTGAAATCTACCTAAGTTCTTTTCCTTAGGCCTAGTGTCCATCAGAATGACTGGAAAGATGCATTTTCAATCACGCTGGATTTTGTGGTAACGTTTATTTCTAGAGAAATCTCAAAAACCTAGCAAAAAGCGATATTTTTAAAGGAATATACACGGTTTTGAGCAAGTTTCACTAAAATGCATAGCTGACGCCAAATAATTTAGAATCAGTTAAAACCTTCGGAACAAACTAGGTTTTCAGATGAGAATTCAAATCTTGTAAGTTATGACATGTTCGATGTTTATCGATTATGTCTTTTTTACAAAGTAATAAAAGGACAAGTACCTCTTAGAGATCTACTACCGCAACAGACACCTGTAGGCTAT